AAAAAAAAAAAAAAAAAAAATCTTCCTATTTGTAAGAAAAGTATTTACATATAACTTGCATCCTAAAAATAAGATATCCTGGCTCTGCCAATATATCTCAAGTTGGGTTTTAGGGCCCTGTCCGTTTAGCAGGCAAATCTGCACAACTGTATGAGATTACCCACAAATTTTAACTCTAAGTCCTATGTTCTGTGTACTACCACATCATACTGCCTTAAAACAGAAAGCTAATTAAAAGAAAATGCATGTAAATGTTTCTGTATGAGCTAGGTGGGGCTGAGGAGGTAATAATAATACGTGAAATAGAAGAAAATATGGATGGTGAAATTATATTTTTAAATACTTTTATATTATTTTCCTAAATTGGAAATAAGACAGCTTCTGTATGAGAAGTGTAAAGGATGATGAACAGGTGAAATTTCAATCTCCTTACCAGCAAAAGGAACAATTAATCAACTGTAGATAGGACAAAGGAAGGAAATGAAAATATGTATCAGCATACTGGTATACATACTGATTCTGTGTCAATGAAAAAAATATTTTCTGTTTAATGTCCAAGGCTTGTATTATTATAAACTGTACAGGTTTTTTTTGTTGTTTTTTTTTTTACTATGGATACTCAATCTTATTAGATGCTTTGTTTTTTCTTCTTATGATGGAAAATTCCTTTTTCTAAGAAAATTTGAGAAATAAGTTCCTTGAGGTATACAAGGATTTTCCCCCTATTATATTCACTGTCTAAATAATCTTAGCTATCCTGAAGTTAGTTGTTTGCTGTGTGATGAGTGTTTACCTAAATTCATTATATACTCATGAAAGAAATTACTCCATTTTCCTTGTACAGTGAAATCCTTCCATTAATAGCATCTTTTCCAATGTTTTTAAAAGTAAAAGGGGAGCAAAAGGTTAGTGAAACAATAAATCCAATTTCAAAACAGTATTTATGTGTAAATAAAATGTAAATAATGGACTTACTCTTATAAAGAGTATTTTATCCCCTAGTCGGTACCGTCCTTCAGACAAATACTCAATAGAAAATCGATGAGAACAACTACAAGGAGGATCCTCAGCAATATGTTTAACCTAAGATGATGAATAAATAAAATTTAGTGCTTGTTACAAAAAGCATTTTGTTTAAAGTGCAATATTATTTGATAGCCAAGGAAAACCAAACTTAAAAATAAAAATTCTAGGTTCAACGATGTAATCGCTTCTCCTGTGCTTGTTAACAAATATTGAGATTAGACATTGCTAATCTAACATAAAAGCCACAATCTTCCCAGCACAACTTTGTGGTAAAGAAATTCTTATTTTCCCCAGTTTTACCAAAGAGGTTAAACTTGCCTGAGATCATGCAGCTAGTAAGTAGCGGAGCCAGGTTTCAGATCCAAACAGCCTAGCTGGTGTCTCTCTGTCTCTCTCGCTCAATTGTCTCTCTCTCTCTCTCTCTTTTATTTTTCTCTCTCTCCCTCCCTCCCTCCCACCCACCCTTCATCTTCGAACACATAACACAGTGAGGGCAATTAACACATTTGTTGAGTTTTGGGGAAACATACGAGTTCGTTACTAAGCTTTACTTTGTTTTAAGCCCTGAGTTAGTAATACATGTCAAATCAAAGACAGGCCAGTCAGATAAAGGCTAAGTAGGAATTTTCACTTGTCCCTTAACAGTGTACTAAACTAATATTGTGGGGGAAATATCTAGATTTGCTCAAATTTATTATTAAAATTGGCAGAAACATATTCACATCTATTCTCTCAAGACTGGGTAAAATTCTTAAAATTTTCAATTCAAGGTGCATTTCTCTAAAAGTGCTCTGTTTCAATAGCCTGCTAAGGAAATAGGAGTTGGCATGGGGGAACTCTACTTCAGCCAGTCAAGAAGCTTACAGAAATTTTTATTATTATAAATATTTTTAAATAGTAGAACTGCAGTAAATACAAAAACAAATTTAAGAATTATATATTCAAAACATGGAAATATAAATATATTAAGTAAAGATATTTGTTGAAATATCTATGACTGAAAAAAGTCACACATCAGCCACTGTGGAAAATATTTGGCTTTTCCTAAAATTATGTTTTTGAAAAAGGAAGGTCATGAATGTTTTTTTCAATTACTGCCACACACAATTTATCAAAACGAATTCATATAACTAAACTTAGGCATGATGTTAAA